CAAAATGCTCATATTTTCGTCCTAACAGTTGACTAACATGGCACAAATCTGCAATATTTCAGGATGCACCCGTCGCCGGCTCTGCTTAGCTGCAGTATATACAGCTACGGTCATTGTGTCGTGCGTCGTCAGTGGAATCTTTATCTGGTTAACTATAAGCGCCAGCTCAACAACGGTAGGCTTCTATTGTACTTTAGAGTTCTCGTTTAGTTATGTATGTGAGATGCAGCATTGCACTATAGGGTACATGAAAAAGCGTCAAGCTTTACCTTCGTTTAGAATGACATTTCAACAAACAAAAATTTGTAGACCGCATACCTCGATGTTGTGTAAATGTTTATATATGAAATATTAATATCATAGGTTCTGCAATTATAATCATATTCTTTCTAGTTTTCTGAAGTCAAATTTCATGTTAACTAACTTCGGCATGTCATAAGTATGAAATTCCCATCTTTTACCAAATAACTATTTCATATCATTTATTTCCCAATAGAGAGAGGAAGAAAGAGAAAGAGGAAGAAAGAGAGACCGGTATGCTACGCAAAAAGGGCGGTTTTACCGGCTATATAGATACAGATACAGTTACAGATACTGACCAAAAACACAACCTTTATTTTTCATGGGGGTAACACATGCCTTATACACACGAGGTTACATGGTCCTTTCAAAATAGGCCATGCCTTACTGTGCTTCTTCTAAATTACAGTTTGGTACAACAACTACTACTACAGCTACTGCAGCTTTTACTACCACCACTACTGTCTCCACGCTCCCAGCAGTCAACCGCACCTCACATGGCGGAGGTGAGACTAGGAAGAAAGTTCATCTGTTTGTAGGAAGTATTAAAGCATACTAGACTCCAGAAGCGAGTATCAAAATTCCTCAGAAAGTAAAAAATTGCTGTGCATGAGTTTCTTTCGCCACATGGTCCATAAGTTGCAGTCTGAACGCAGCGAGAACATTTTAACAATAGAGTTAAATTGAAATTGCCGAGGACTCTTTCACTACGTCAAATTGAGAATTTCAAATACTGTAACATCAAAACGCATATTATAATTGATCTTAAAGTTTGTAATTTCTATCCTCAGGCGGCAGATATGGGGTGTACATGGGCTGTTTTCCGGACGGTAGCAAACGCAACTTTCCGTTCGAATATATGGCACACTGGAAAATGTACACAGCGCTATGTGTGATCCATTGTCGCAGAATGGGTTACCCCTATGCAGGTAAAACTTGTCTGTCGTGATAGAAATGCCACGAGTTTGATTACTTATACTCTCATCTATAACCCCAGAATACAATAGCATAGGTGCACAGATCTTTGAAAAGAGCGGCATATGCATTTTGAAATCTTAAATCTTCCCATAACTTAAAACTCTAATATTGTTTTAAAAGTTTCAAGAGCATGTATATAATGAAGAGCTGAATCACTCCGTTTACAGTGTTCTAATTTAGTTCATTTTCTTTATGAACACTATCGATACCGCATGATAATGGTAACTTTCTTTACGACTATGTAGCTACGGAGTATGGGGAAGAGTGCTGGTGTGGAAGAGAAGATAATTACCGGGGAATCCGGGGACAGCTTCGGCCAGACGCGGAGTGCAACAAACCCTGCCTTGGGTGGTCACACGAGATGTGTGGAGGACCATGGAGAATGTCCGTGTACAAAGTATAAAGTTAGTACATAGTACAAATAGTACAGATTTGAGAACTATAAACTGTAAAACAATTCGTTTTGGTAAGTCCTTTCTCCCTTATTCCATCTCTGGATGGAATAACCTAAATTGTAATATTCGTACACTTAATCATTCTAAATTTCGGACTCACCTATTTCGATATTTACGCCCCACCAGATATAATCATTTCAGTTTCGGTTCTCGTTTCTCCTGTGTTCTTCTTACTCGGCTTCGTATTGGCACCTGCAGCTTAAATTATAATCTTTTCACAATGGGTCTTATTGCTAGCCCTGCTTGTAGCTGCGGGTGTCAATACGAAACAGTTACTCATTACCTATTACACTGCCCTTTACATAACTTCCACCGTTCAGAACTCCTCAGCAAAGTTTCTGGGATCTTAGGACACTCTGTTAACTTACACACCCTTTCAGATAGAGCGAAACAACTCTTAATTTTGAACGGTTCCCCGGTTTATTCTTTCCGAGTTAACTGTAACATTATGTCAAGCGCCCAAAATTACATTTTAGCAACAAAACGTTTCTAATTCTATTTGTGTCCTTCTCATCTTTTGGGTGAGGAATGTGGACTCTCGCTTCATCAATTCGACTATTTGTTCTTTTACATGTATTCTTGGTTAGTGTTTTGTATTGTTTAGTAATATTAGTTTTATTCGTATAAGTGGCGGCGCTAACATAAGTTACCTAACTTGAGCCCGTCGTCACTTTGTCTTGTACCCTTATTTTGTTTATTGTATTCTGAATAAATAAAAAAAGTATAAAGTACGTAACTGAATACAAACTTAGGAAATGAACTAGAAAGGTAACATTTGCAGAGCAAATGCATAATGTTTACCTTCGCATATGGTCTGCTCTGTTAATTCTTACTCAAAATCAAACAAATTTATATATCTGGTGACAGGAGTCTAAATCCTTCCCACTATACAATTGCACCATTATGTAATCCAACACCAGTTACCATGATGAGACAGGTCAGAGGTCAGTGTTTGTAAAGAAAGAAGAAAAAGAAACAGAGCAAACATAATAAGGTTAGGTTTCGGTCTGTATGTTAAATTCTGACATTGTAATCAGTTAATAACACCATAGCAATAATGTATTCCAAATGTTAGTTGCAGAAACGTGTATGTGGTCTTTGAATTGTGAAATATTAGTCCCAAAAATGTATTTAGCCTCAAATCTCTTATCTGGTATTTTAAATACATTCTTTGATTCTCTTTTGTTTATGTATAACTTATAATCAACGGTGTCGTATAAGCCCACACGGGCTGGGCGCGGGAAAGCGCACGACACGAAAATAAAGTTTTATTCATTCATTCATTCATACATTAAACCGGATATTATAAATATTATATTTTAGTCAATTTTTTTAGAATTGGTCTAGAGGACAAAATAATCTCTGTACTCCTTTTTTTTATTCTACGAAACACGCTGAAAGGCTTCGCCACAGATTTACAGACGTCACGACAGTGTCACAAAATGTAATAAGAGAAGATGTGATGGAAGGAAAGAATCAGATCAGAACAGGGCGACCATTGCTGTTTAGCAGAGATTTATTGCTGTTTTTATGACGAATAAAAGACTTGTTTATTGTTACACTATGTTCTTTAAATTTATTCAATTTGTGTCCACGTTATTTCGGTACAGCTGCTAAGCTGAGGACTTGGTGACAGTTTGTAGGGATGGCTAACCAGCTCAGCATTCATGAATGAAAGCAAAAGCGGTTGCTTACCTTCCTTTCGTATGGGACACGCTAATCTGATTGCATTTTTGTCACCAAAACACCCAGTTGTAACTTTTTGTCAGGTCAGATTTACCTTCTAGATTTAACTCCTGAAGAACTCAAGTTTGTGTCCCTGAGAAGTTTGTGTTTCCAGTATGAATATCTTACCACAGCTTGTAAACTCTAGCATTTTAATTCCTGCAATATTATTACTTAAAGATATGGCGTATAATGAAAACTACAGTGGCAGGATGTCCCATGCCTACGTAGAATAAGGAAACAATGCCACAAAGTAAAAAAAAAACCTGCAAGGTTCGAGTTCTCTATTCCCAGAAAAGGCCTGGGTTTCCAAACATCCTTATTGAAGAGGTTAAAATATAATTGATACATTGTTCGAACAGGAACAGTGATAAAAAAATAACAGACAACTCACAGCATTTTTTTAAAATTTAATACTAAATTATGCTTGCAGGTGTCAATCTAATAGAACATGCATATTGGTTCATTCATCATAGACAAGAATATTTATCGGATGAAAACTAAAAACGCTAAGTATATTCCTTATATTGTTGCCTAGACAATTTCATCTATATCTACAAACTCGACTGAAACATTCATACATTCAATGATGTATATTGGACTATATCATATAAGTCTTCATTTTTAATACATGTAGACTATAAATGTTGTCAAATATAGGCTCAATTCATGATTTAACATGTCATGCCAATATGAATAAAGCTGAATCTGAATCTGAGTGGGATTTTAGCAAAGTCAGTAATAAACTTTAAAAATTCCTCTTCATTGAATTTTGAGTATTTGACAACGAAATACTGGATGAAATAATTTGGTCCCACAGAGTTAGTTACTTAATAAATAAAAAGTACATGTATGTCCGTACATGTATGTACGTGTGTGTGTGTGTGTGTGTGTGTGTGTGTGTGTGTGTGTGTGTGAACGTTTGTGTATGTGAATGTGCGTGTGTGTGAACGTGTGTGTATGTAATTGTGTGTATGTGTGTGAGTGTGTGTGTGTGCTTGTACATGTATTATAGTGTGTTTATGTGTTTGTGTGTTTGTGATATAAAGGGTTGACTAAGTAGAAAATTGGTTTGTCTTGCACATATTAAATATTTTCATCACTACAACATCACTACACTAAGTTGTGCTGAAATCAGACAAAATCCCGCAGAGAAGTTGTCTGTGCCAATTCCTCTCGTAACCTTATTAAGTATGCATGCAATTCTGCTTTTGGTTAACAGTACCGATTTAATCAACCTTTCAATGGACCAGTAACCGGTAAATAACTGATGTAATAAGTATAAGATAAGAAATGTTATTATGGTATAAAAGTTACAGACATGCAATATGTACAAATGTAAATCATCATGACGGTTTCTTTCCGCTAACTACACTAAAAGTCACACTGATTTGAGTTCATGGATAACCTCCATGCAAAGCTATTTTCAATGTTTAAACCAAAATTAACAATCTGGCATAGTTTCCTGCCTTGCCATGTTATTAAACTTTAACAAGAACAAGAACAAGTACGTACACTGTCAAATAAATACATGTGCTGGCAATCAAACTACAAAACAAGATTATAAACGTTCTTGCCAAACTTTTACTTGCTCAAATACATGGTCATGGGAACGATTGCCGCGATGCTGATGACGTACATGACAAGACACACCCTGTCCAGGACCTTAGCCAGCAGGGTGTAGTCGGACACATCCTCTTTGTTGTTCATGGCCTTCGTCAGCTCCTCTGTTTGGTTATTAACCGCCCTAGTCAGCCCCTTTATCTCGTTCCTTACCTCTTTTACGCAAGAGATCAGCTCGAGAAGGTCAGACGAACCGGTGGCCTCCAGGTCTGTAGGTGCAGGAGGCGTTGATGGTTGCCCGGTCCGTATGTTATCATCACCGGGTCTCCCTTCTTCGACCATGTCATCCGTTTGGAAGGCGTAGTTGGTCATCTCTATGCCAGGGTGGTTGGTCAGGTCAGCCTCTCCATCGCCTGCACGCTTCTGCTTTGTTAGATCACCCAACAGCAGCATCCTTGATAACAATCAATAATCATTGAAATGACTTAAAAAGCAATAATCATTGAAATAGCTAAAAAGAAATAATCATTGAAATGAATAGAAAAAAAAAACGTCACTAATTTTCGCCGCTGTCCTCATACATGCATGGTTATTCATCGATCGTTATATGCAGGGTTTAATATGTTATGAAGATAACTTTCTTTTAGATAAGAAATACTGAGCGAAATATAACTATAGTGTTAAAAACAACTTCCTAACAGAGAAACTTGACCGTAATGGTGATGGAAGCCTTATAAGAAGAAAAAAGAAACTTTATAGAGACAATTGGAGTTGCAGGTGAAGTAATCTATCAGTTATATATATCATAGTACACACAGATATCATTGGAACCAAAAATATTGTAACGTACTTTGAAATATAACGAAGAAAAATAATCTTCGCGGTCGGAGACAGGCTGCCCTCCCTGTCGTGAATGATGATGATGATCAGAGTGAAGAATAGGAATAATCCCATCAGCCCCATCCACAAGATGATTAGCGTAGCTGTAACATTCAAGATGGTTAACAGTTACCAGAATACATAAGTCATACCAAAGCAGCTGCACTATCTTGAAGAAATGCTTTTAAAGCAAAGCTATTGTGCCATATCTGATTTTTGTCCTCACCGAAAAGAGGTAATGCCCCCTTGACAGGAAGTACGTCTGTCACAAACACGAGAGACACGACCATGGAGAGTAGAATGGTCACTCCGAACGCGATCCGGTCGCCCCTGTCCAAGGGCATCATGAATGTGATCGTCATCAGTACCACCAGGATGACGCAGGGTCCTACAGTAGTGGCGATGTGGAACAGTGGAATCCTGGACAGATGAACAGCAAGGCACGCCTCCCTGTTGTCTTTCGCGAAGATCTTGTCCTTTCGATACCATTCGCCCTCCGTTTTTGCAGCGGAGTAAGAGTTGCAGGGACTGTTTCCCATATTGTCTGCAGACCTTCCCCCTTCGCATTCTGTATTAAACATATTGTCCCAATAAGTTATAACTTTTCCATTGCTATCAGATATATATTTACCAGATATGTAAACATTAAAAAAAAAAGAATCATCTTAATTTTAGGATAGCATTTCTAAAGACCAAACCTGTCATGAATCATTGCAAAAGCCTTACGGATGGTTTGCGCAATTGCTGTGGCTGCGGAAAAGCATATGTCGCATTCCATGATGTCTGCAGGGAAGAAGAAGGGGTCTGCATCACATACGGTGGTGGTCAGGGTTTCTACACGCCATTCTACCAGACCACTGCGGCTCATTCGGACCGGCACATTCTTTTCTAGGCCTTTGTAGACCGGATCAGCACTGCGAGGTAACGCAAACTAGAGTTAATCTTGACGAATGTTGACGACAATGAGTGAACATTGAATATGAGCACAAGATCCACATTTGCATGATTACATCAGTTAATCATACTCTCCACATTATGACAATCGGTTCTTGAGTTATCCATCTTAGAAAATTTTTTAACAAATGCTCCTGCAATTCCAGAAAAAGCTGTTAGGAGGCTCAAACTCACGTCACTTCTTCTTGAGCCCGTGAGCTACCTACCATTTGAAAATTCAGATCACGAAATCCCCAAACCGGACGTTTAGCTGAAGTACCATCACAAGCCACCAGCGGGCCCAAAATCTATCAATTTCGAGGTCTCATGAAGTCCCATTCACACACTTAATATCAACACTATCTCTTTCACCCTTATTGGGTTATCGTGAGGCCACACACACACACACACACACACACACACACACAAATGGGACACTCATCATCATCATCATTAGGTAGCGGTTTCCCGGTCATGAACCCTCTCCCTCCAATACTCTTCACCCATCATGGCACTCGCATGGCATTCTTTGTAATGGGTATTCTTTCGGTCAGTAAGATGGATTTAATGTTAAAAATATTCTGAAAAAAATGTGATGAATTCAGTGAATTGAAGAAGTTACAACGTACTTTCTTTTCAGAATCAACGTCGGTGCCCAGATGTCGCTGCCGCGAACGCTTAGCGTGGTGACGTTATCGTAGTATTTCGGATCCCAATTCAGTCGGCTGTCCTGCCATGTCTAACAAAATGAAACACATCACTGCGTATGACAAAGGTTGTTCACGTAAGTGTCAACCCCAAAATGACTAGACAACTAGACTATTGTCCGCATACCAGTATTTTTTGGTAAATGAAAGGTAAGTTTTCATAATTTTTTTTTGCAACTTACGAAATCGATGACGACAGACGCAACAAGTTGCTCCTTCTTTTCATCCTAAAATAAAGGGTACAACATGAATTACAGCATGGATGATTGCTAAATTAAGCAAACCTTTTGGTACGGTCATTTCTCTAAGTTGAATCAATTGCAACTCTATTCCTTTGCATGAAAAGTGCCATTCAGGGAGGTGCCAACATATGACGCCTTTCGAGTGCGTTTGAAAGCTGGAAAATAGTTGCCAGCCATGTTTGTGTTTTTCTGGTAGTTTGTGGTGTTTTAGCGCCTACCATGAACTTAATTAAAAAGGAAACGTTAAAGTAAAAGTAAAATATAATGACACGAAGATTTTTTCAATTAAAATATTTCAATCTTTGGTGCAGAGATGTTATATAATGCCCCTTTTGCTCTTCATAGTGGGAACTACTAATTTATAAGGACATATGTAATAGAAAAATAGTACTTACCAAGTCGACAACTTGTTCCACAGATCCTTTAAAGTTGACGATGACATTCTCAGGTGGCAGGCCTGCACTGGAAATCTCCAGTAGATCCTTTTGCAGCCTTTGTCTGTGGTTCACTGCATAATGTGTGTTTGTTTCAGTGAAAACAATCAATCAAAATGCAGAAACTGGTACATTTTAGATTGTGGCCACATGTTGTCAAAGCACACGTCAAATGGACTATCACTTCTAAATAATGTGCCAGGTCTCATTGTAGCATTGCAATAATGTACCAGGTCCCACTGTGGTATGTTAGGTCTTGTATAATGTACTAATTGTTAAATACAGCGTTGATTTCGAACGTAACTGCTTGTAGTTTTGCGGCATGCAAATCATATTGATATTTTGGTTCGTCGTGTGTATTGACATGGTCATGACTAATTTGAGGATGTACTGTAAAACAGATACAATTCACCTGTAACAAAGACTGATATTATACATATTATAGAAGAAGTGGGTAAATTCGTCCTCCATTGCCTACAAAGAAGAAGTCAAACCCAGTAAAACTAGTGTCATGTCATGTTGTAGCATACAGTATAATGTTAGAAGTAGATATAGTCTCACATATCACTGTATTTTCTTTCTATGTTCTTTGTAACTGCAATTAGCCCTCGGGCAAGTATTTGCAATAAACTTTCTTTCTATTATAAGAGTCACCTGAGCAACGGGGCTTGTCATATTGCCAATTGCCTCCTTCGATGCACCTCACTTCACTAGTGTAACCGGACTTGAGTGTGTAGCCTTCGTTGCACGAATACGTGACCTTTTCTTCTACGTAGTAGAACCTCTTATTGGGGCTTCTCTTGCCGTAGTTCGGAGGACCCCTGTCCCAGCAGCCTTCAGCAGCTGATTGTGCAGTCATAACAGGCAGTGAGAAAATGAGTAACTAGACAGATTATATCAATTGCAAAGCAAATGCATAATGTTAACATTATGGTCAAGACTAAATTAATACACCACTTCTTTAAATTTGTTTATTGTTACTCTAAAACATTCGTATACAATATATAATGAGCACCCTTTCAGCTCTGCCCTGTGACAAAATGTAACTCAGCACCACAGGGTGTCTGCTACAGCACAAGTTGCCATGGTGATAGACGTCTGGTAACTAAAGGTAGACATTATGTCAACGAAGGTGAACATATTGTTTTGTCTGTTTCTGATTCCTCCTCGTCTTCTCCGAAGAAATGAGGTCAATGACCTGTACCACAGGCTGTAGCAGACACCCTGTGGTGTCGTGTTACATTTTGTAGCAGGGCAAAGATCGAGGGGTGCTCACCATATGTTATATATGAATAAGGTAGCTTGAGCACAGGAAGAGCTCATATCCGTCACATGAAGCAACTGGTGAACGGTTTGGGAAAGCAAGGCATATTATCTTCTTACACGACAACTTACCACACGGGATGACGTCACATTCCGCCTGGCTACCTCCTTCGGTCAAACAAAATGGCCGCTCTAGACCTGTAGGGTTGCGGCAGTAGTTGTTATTCAGGTTCGCCCAAGGGAATTTTGTCTTGTAGTAACCAGCTTGTGCAGCTGACCACTCCACACAATCTGCTCCGGATGTCGTTTTACTCCATGTGCCACGGTAGTTCATGCCAGTTCCGTGGTAGCAAACTGTGGAAGACAAAAGAACACAAGTAGTGGAGTATGTGTCAAACCGATAGATCCCCTCTTGCCCAAATGTCGGTTAGATACAAAGGTGTCACCTTATGGAATAAACTCCAGCTCTAAAGAATCCTATCTTGTCTCTTCTCTCACTCAAACAAGCTCTGAAAACCCATCTGATAAACGAACCTAGCCCCCTGTAGTAGTTTCATTTAGTGTTTTTCTCTTATTTTAACTCATACCAATTATTATTATTATCATTATCATTATTGCACTGCATTTATAACTTACATTACCTTATTTCATTGTCATTAATTTATACCGTACATTATTCGATTATCCTTATTGTATTATTTCCATTTCCTATTGTATTATTTCCATTTATTGATTATATTTAATTTTGTATAGTTTAGAGGAGGAGGGCCTTGTATAAGCATTCCATGCTTCTCCCCTTCTCCTGCACCAGTTTTATCCTTGTTTTGTATTATTATGGTCTGTTTTGTTTATGTGCACACTAATAAAGTCAAAAAACAAATCAATCAAATCAAATCCCCGAGTAAGCGTCAGGAATTTGGCTGGCGTGCCAAAATCAAATTAACGTTATGCCCATGAAATCATGAGCTCATTTAGATATCATAACAAACAGTATCAAAGTCTTCTCTTTGCACCTTCGCTTCCTTTCTTGGCTGGTTTGGGATTCCAACAGTTGTGATCGGATGAAGGAAACAGGTCACATCGCGGCAGCTGGTTCTTTATCCAGTCATCAGCCATGTGGAGCACTTCTTCACACCACGAGCGGCATGGCACCAGCTGTGTTCCCCTATAAAACATTTACCGTAGATCAAATACCAGTCGTTAAACGTAGGTAGTGTACGGCACGCGCGCCAGCAAACGCCATGTTGCATATAACATGTTCCTTATCTTAGGCCATGTTGATTTGATTATATGGATGACATTCTCCGAGAGCCCCAAAACTGATGCGCGCATGCGAATAAAAAAAGAGTTTTGCAAAAAAAAAGTTGTTTTCATTATGAAATGTACGTGGTTTTGAAGGTTTAACAAATGGCACAGAATATGGTTTGGCGAATAATCTAGTCTTCAAGTTCATTTCTTTACAATTTCGTCTTTTTTCGTTTGATTTTGGCATTCTACGACATTGGTATGGTTTTTAATTTTTTTTTAAAACTTAAGGTATATTTTTGCTCATTTTGCAACTGTTTTGTACGATTTACAGTATGGTTGAAAACTTTTTTTTTTTGGAAACGGCCGAAAATTCATGCGCGCGCGGATGTCATCCATATAATCAAAACATGGCCTTAGTGGAAGTAATGGCATCTTTAGATTCGTGAGCGTTCAGGTTGAAATCTGAGGCTTCATCATAAGCTGCTGTGAAACATGCCACGTTCCAAAAAAATAGTAACTGAAATGTGAACTAAAAATCATCATCATAACTTTTTTTCTCACATGCATGAGTCCATGTTGGCTGCATTTAGGAGCGAAGAGCACTGAGTCTTATTTTCTTCGGAGACATTGCATTGTGGGAAAAGGACTCTCGACAAGAATGTCCTTATCTCAGGGTGATACTTTCCCGGGATGCTTTGCGAACTGTTGAGCAGCTCCACGAGGGAGGAATTCTGTATCTCCTCAAACGTCGTATGACCCAGCTGATTCGGTAGGATTGCAAGCCTGCTGTCGATTTCAAAACCCCTAGGGATTGGCCGGCACACTGAAAGGTTTAAAGAATAATAGTTTATGTCATTTTACTTACTAGAAATACTGACTAGAAGTATTGTAAACCAAAGCTAACTTTAGTATAGAGTAGAAGAATGGTTCCTTAGATTATGATTTCCAACTGACCCAAACATTAATAGTCATGCTTGTATACTGTATCCATCTTTGTCGGTCACTATAGACATGTATAGCTAGACATTGTACATTATAAAACCATAAATTCAGAATCATTGAAACATACGACAAATTAGTCATTAAGAAAATCAACATCTCTTCTTAATTTTCATTTATCTTCTACTACCATCCCAGTCTGCTCTTTTTGACGAGGTTACAACCTACCACGTCGTTCTTTTATCAGTTGGAAGGAGATAATGTCTACTGACCTACGAGCAGCTGCAAGTACATTACCCTGGATGCCAAAACTAGTATCGGGCCGTTAGCCGTTTTCCTTCGGCAGCCGAGAGCCCTTTGCCCGCCTGCCTAAATTAGCGCTACGGGGGAGTTGAGCCCGAGGGGTTTGTCGATGTAGGGCCAGCCAAACTCCCCCCGGGCTAGACTCCCCCATATAGCGGTAACTTACACCAGCGGGCGAAGGGCTCTTGCGGCCCGGAAAACGAGCTTGGATTCCAGGGTACAAGTACATGTGTGTGTACTACATGACCTGATGACAGAGACTTACCACAGCCCTCCTCATCACTCCCGTCCGTGCAGTCCGGGATCCCGTCACACCGCTTCCAGGATAGGATACAGGCTTGTCTGTGTCCACAGCGGAAATGTCCCAGAGAGCAGTCGATTGCTTTACATGTAAACAATTCATACATTGGATTTTGAATCTAATCTGCTTGATTGGAAGAATTCTAGAAGAGCTTAAGTTTGGGACCTGAAGAAAGATAAAGCTTTGGTTTTCAATTAACGTATATTTCGCAACATTCATGTGGGGAGCATAACACAGAACTTTTAGATTTTTAGTTAACCACAGAACTTCTAGATTTTAAATTAACAATCCTGAACATAGTAACACCTTGCCGTCTGTGAACTTATTGGTGCTTTCTTTGTTATATTGAATTAATCATGTTTCGATCTGCAAAAAATCTTAACTTGTAACGAAATTGAAGCTAAACTGCCGTCCAATGACATGAACACAAAATGGTTTGATAAAGTCAATTCTACTAGTTGGTATAACTTATTACCAGGGGAATAAAAGAACGATAATTTCCAAGAGAAAACATTACGAAATCAATGCCTAACTTATGTTTTGTGTTATGACATACTTTTATCCAGCTGGCAGATAAACTTGTAAGCAGAGGAGCACGGCGCGTAATTCCAGCCTGAACCATAGTAGTTCGCGCAGTTTTCTCCCTCGTTGCCGTTAGGTTCCCCGAGCTGCCAGCGGTTCCAGTCAGACCTGATGCCGTGTGGAGTCCCGTCTGCCCACACCCACTCACTCTGGTCGTTCGGATCGTTTAGGCCAAACCAGAAATGGGAGGTTTCATCCACGGCGTTCTTCAGCTCTCTCACGAAGTCGTCCACGTCTCTGTCCTTCGGCATGGCCAGGAGCGCCTCGTCCTCTGCACACACCTTTCCGGCCTGAGTGTAGGTTTTGCTTTGATTGTATGCCTTGAAGCATACACCCTTGTATGTAGTGTATCCAGACGGGCAACCTATAGAAAATATGAACAAAAACGGTCTATCTGGGTCTTTCATCTCACATTGAGCCTATTTATATCACTCTTATCACTTTTTAAAATTATGCTAGTAACCTTTCGAAGAAACTGTGCATGGCAAATGCAAACACACATGAAATATACTCTCAAGAAATGTATTTTAATTTTACACTTGTCTTACTCTGGTTGAAATATCTTTATCCTTAGGTCTACTTTTGCCATATATCTGATGCTAGTACATGTATGCACTAGTATGTAAGTTGAAAACCATTATGGATTGCTTCGGAGGACCAGAAACATAAAGGATGTTCCAGGTTAAAGGTGCTAAATGTAAAATATGATGTAAAAATTATTTTGTATTAAAATTATAAATATATAAAAAGTATATACAAAGTGAAAATTATAATAAAATACTGATCAAATTTAAATAAAAACGTAAATCTAGTAACAGAATGCACAAAAATGTACTTGACGGAGATGATGAACCCATGCGTGGCAAACATAACAAGAATTCGGAGATGTCATATCTCCATGAAATATATGAGTTTTTGTAAATGTTTTTACACAGTACACTACAGTACAGAACAAAATAACACAGGTAATTGTTTTCAAACACACACCTTTGGCCTGAAATAGGTCAGGCTGTAATATATATGGTCAACTGTACATGTAGCTTATTCCAGAGGAAGAACCTCATTAATCAAACCGGGCAGGCGCGCTGCCTCCATACGTCTTATGCGTTAGAGGAACTCCTTGACAGCTGGTATTTTGTTGCATAACCCACACATCTGTTTTCCCTGACTTGCAATAAGGTACAAAAACCGGTTCTGCTGCAGTACCAACGTCAGCCACCAGGAGGCCCATATTTGACATTGACCTTTGGCTTTCTTAGACCTACCAGCATACTAAATATCATCACAATCGGCGTCCTGAAGTTATGCTGACTACAAATGTGCGGAAACACACACACACACACACACACACATACACACACACACACACACAGCCACGCCAAAAACAATACCTCCATTTTTTATGGAGGCAATAATCATCTATGTTGCACAAATATTACACCACTGATTATTAGTCACTTTGATTTTGAAGACGAGCCAAACGATATTCTATACTCACAGCTCAGTCCATCTTCCTGCAGTTCCCAGGAATCCCGACAGGCGCACGCCCTCCCTCCCGGATTCGCAAGGCACAGCTCCTGGCATCCTCCATTGGACGAGGAACACGCTGAAATACCGATACTTATCATAAATAAGTTAAGATTACAGATATGATAGTGCAAAAACAAATTCTGAAATAGACGAGCTACGAGACAGTTTTTGCAGATTTCAAGAAGGTATTACAAGTTATAATGGCCGAATACTATTATATATTCGCTGAATATTGTTATCATTCATGAAAGTTAGGCCATAATTTTGCATAAGATATGACTTTTAAAGCTATTCTTACTCGTGTCCCAAATCGAATCTTTAACCACGAAGGTATTTCGCTTATCCACAATTAGCCGTAATTATAGAGCTTTCTCATTAATTATGTAAATTACTTGTTAATTTGCATAATTTATATTTGTCGTCGTTTCTCTCCTCAAGTTTGAAAATTCTGATTATGAACTGCAGCAGATGTATCGAATTACCAAGTTAGATCCTGATTATTTAACGAATCACATGAGCTACATTGTGTACATTTATACAAAAAATCAGGGTGACTCAATTTTTAGGTTTTAGATTTTATCCTGCCCCTGTAGTTTCGGAACAAACTGCTTGGGGCCCCAAAATGGAATCATGAGGACTCGGACCATACCACCTTCTAAACATAAATGTATGCTTGAATATTTCAATTTAGTATTATATTGGAGACTGATTATTAGGCGCTTTTTATAAAGCACATTTCCACTCTTTTTGAACGTTTTACCGTTTGAACAATGGCAATTTTTCTATCTAAGATTCATTTACTGCGCCCCAAATCAGGTCAATCCTTTCTTAGCACATGCCAAGGGCTACCTGCAGGTACTATCCAAAAATTACTACAGCGTGTCTGTCTAGACCACGAAATGTCCAAAACCACAAGTTCCGCAGCAGTACCATAAATAGGGAGGCCCAAATCTAATCATTGCGATGTCTCATCAAAGCCTACGCACCTATCAGGACAATTCATATAAGCCCTATCGTCTTATTCTATTAACACCAACACCCACACACACGTACACCCACACACACACAGACACACATACATACATACACACACACACACACACACACACACACACACACACACACACACACACACACACACACACACACACACACACACACACACACATACACCCCAAACTCCCCAACACACACGGACTCGCACACACACCAACGCTACTGAAAACACAATCTTCTTGTCGAAGGTAATTACCGTTGGTGACGTTAGGCGGAAATGGCGTGGACAAGTAGATGCCCCGTGTAGTACCCAGGCCGTCCAACATAACAGTCTGATTCATGCTGGACTTGGATAACCTGTAGTTAACATTGTACATAACGTTACTGTCAGTTAATCGTTAATTGTGGATAAGCGAAATACCTTAGTGGTTAAAGATTCCATTTGGGACACGAGTAATAATAGCTTTAAAAGTCATATCTTATGCAAAATTATGGCCTAACTTTCATGAATTATAACAATATTCAGCGAATATATACTAGTATTCGGCCATTATAACTTGTAATACCTTCTTGAAATCTACAAAAACTGATTTTCATGATAATTACGGCTTGCCTATAAGAAAGTCAAAGTGGATGCAAGGGAAGGTCATTTTCCTACCTTCGGAGGCTACCTGGCGAGTAGGTGACCCAGTAGACGTAATCGTCACCGACCGCAATCCCTGAAACACGGTTCCAGTACTGGTCTCCCGGCTTGACTAGTTGTGTATTGTTGCCGTGCATGTCTGAACTGAAGATGCTGTCATCATCAGAATAGTACAACCGATTCTCTAAATGGGAGAAAGGAACACATTTGGATGACATCAGATCAACTACCACATGTCATCAGAATAATACAACCGATTGTACAAAACCGGTACAAAAAATCGCCCATTCCTTACATTGTTGAGCAGTTCTTCCCTACTCTTAAGCGACGGTCACAACTCGCCGTACGTGCTTCTGCGTGCTGTCTACGTGCAAAAACGTGGGCAAACGTACGGCATCCGTGCGTGGTGAGTACCGCCTCCGTACGGAATCCTACGGATTTGGGAGCACGCAGACACGCCGTAGAACCTTAAGTGCATGTAATACTTTTTCTACGTGCGGTCTGCGGATTTACCACACGTGCGTGCGAGTACGTGCGACGCGCGTGCCCCGTACAACCTATGAGCGTGCAACGTACGGACTCCGTGAGTCTAACTTCACTATTCTCACGTGCAATTGCTGTACGGACAGCGCACGAAGCACGTCAGTGCCACGCACGGTGCTTGCGTCATCCGTGCTTACTCCTCACTTCCCAGTTGACCTGCTCAATGACCACGCAGAACACACGTGCACCATACTAGGTGCTCCGCACGTGCAACGCACGCGCAACGCACCTTATTTCTACAGTATATAAAGACGACTTGACGGGCGACTGCCAACTCGTCTCCAAGATGCCCAGGAAGGCTCAGAAGAAGTCTACCAGACAAGACCCAAAGAAACGGGCCGCGGAAGACACCAGGGCGGCTAGTGATGATGAAGTTAACAGGAGGTGCACGCACTTACAACGTGCGAGTGAGTAAGGAAATCGTGCGCACGCCGCACGTGTAGGTACGGCCTGTACGCGGCAACGTGGCAATCGCACAGAGATCGTACGTTGTAAGCACGTACAACTCACTTACCACTTGCGCAACGTACGATGCACGCAACCGCTGACGGTCAGGCGTTTCGTGCAGACCACGTACGTACACCTTGCGAGTGACGTACTCCCTCGGCCGGCCACCCTACGTTTGCAGAAAAAACGTAGCAGACGTAGCCACGACAAAAACGTACGGACAAAAAGCACGCACGGCGAGTTGTGACCGAGGCTTTACTTAAGTGGGCATAGAGTGACTGAGTGCGGCTAGCATTGACATTTACCTCTACTAGTAGTGTAATAGGCATTATTATAGCTCTCTACCGCTTTTGTGTGATTATTGTGTAAATTATGTATTTTGTAAACCATTAGTATTGTTTAATATCTAATTTTATGAATTGTTAAAACAACTCAATTCAGACTTGAGGTCTGCTAGTTGTTTGAATAAAGATTGATTGATTGATTGATTGTCTAAATAGGAGGAATACACATTTTTTCTGTTAATCAGAAACGCATCAGAGTGACATCGAATTGAACCACTGGTTACCGTAACCCTTGCGAGTTTACATTCGGAAGTGATTGGTCGTTGATTATCCTGATGAAGGCGACAGTGGTCGTTAGAAGGACCCACTGTTTTCCGTGATGACATCCCCCTAAGATGTCCACGTTCAAGGTTCAAGGTCGTTAGAAATTTGATCTCTCTGTACTCTTTGTGTTGCAATACAGTTTATGTATTTATTTATTTATTCGTTCGGCTGTAAAAAGACAAATTGTACAGCCAGGGCAGCCTAAATGACAAGACAAACATTTACACGCACGATACAGCAATACAATACATCAACGTGGAGAGGTCAGGGTCATACACCTAAGGCTTATAGGGGTCACCTAGAGAGTCCCATATCTTCCTTTTAAAGGAGGCAATAGTGGTGGCAGTGCGAGCGTCAGTGGAGTCAGTGCAATACAGTTGCAAATAACATTTTACTATTATTACTAGATACCAACACAGAATGACGAACATTTTAATGGTGATTGTCCTTTGTGTAGTGATATGTTGTTCACGTTACCAGAATCCATTATTCTCTGTTGCCTGTTTTTTTTTTATTCCAACATGTAATCACCAGACATGGTGACGACACACTCAAGTTTCTTCAACTGATATTAATGCCGCCACCAACACAGGGGACACATTACAGAACAATACTCATTTAAACCTGAGCTAAGTGAGGAAAGCCGTGTAAAGTGCCTTTCCCAAGGGCACAAGATCGGTGGCATGTCAGGACTCGAACACGGGACTCTAAGTTCCGAGTCGCGCACTCTGCCGCTACGCCACACGCCCTGTTGTCTCACCTTTGTGGTCTATTGTAATGGCCTTTGGAAAATTAAGGTTACTGATGATAGTGGTGTGGTTGCTGCCGTCCATCGCAGCACGGCGAATACTGAAGACATAGCCCAGTGAGTAGTCCTCACCACTATGTACCCAGAACATGAGTCTGTAGAAAAATAATTACAATCCAATATATAAAAAAAAACAGAAAAAAATAACTAAAAAGTGAATCTGTATCTGTATAAGTATAGCAAAAAAAACACCGTTCGGCGTAACACACCATCTTCGTAGGCACGCGGCGCGGAATTGTTAATAACTAATATCTTTACGTCTTTCCTTCAAAGAAAAGGGAATAAAATTATTTCTTAAAAGCTAAAGCGATTGCTATGCCAATGTCAAAATCATAATATGGTATGTTGTATATATGTTATATAGAAATAGTTCTCCGACAAATTTAACGAGGTAAAAGAATTCAATAAAAACATGTGAAGAAATGTGTTAGACCATCTCTCTTTCCTCTCTTTCCAATGCGATTGGATCCGAAATGGATTAAATACATGTTTGTTCTGATTTTCACTTACTATAATCATTTTTGAGCCCTATTTATTTACAAAGAATTACCCGTTTCTGGGGTCCAGGACCAACTGTCCAGGTGAATCGGACTCAGAAAATGCCAGAAGTGTCTTGGGGTACAATCCGTTCTTCCGGGCTACGAAGATAGCCGGATGGAGTCCGGGGTTACTCCAGTAGACATTCCCTCCAGCATGGTCCAATCCCAGCCCAAGAGCTATATTTAAAACCGTTTTAAGGTGTCGACGTAAGTTGCAAAGATAATAAGAACAAAACTCGGGGAAATACACTTGATAATGAGATGCAAGGCATTTGAATTGAGCATTTTATCTAAGGCCACAGCAAGTAGATTTTATGGATGACTTCCTCCGCAGATTCCAAATCTAATGCGAGCGGGCGAAAAAAAAACAAGGCGGGCCGAAAAAAACAAGGTTCCTACATTTTAAAATTTTGACTCAATCTTATGCATTGTACAAATGGTTTTGATTCAGTAGGAACATCACATATACACAGCCAGCATCACATATCACTGTATCAAAGTAAGAAACAAAACATTAAATCAGAGCCTTTTCTTGTCTCTTCATAGTTATCTGCCATCCACCTTCCGGCATGGCAACAGACAACTTTGCCAATTTTCGGCATATTCACCACCGTCAGAAGGCAACAATTTTTTTTTCCAAAATCAGGCGAAAATTAATGCGCGCGCTGATGTCATCCATAAAAATTACTTGATATGGCCTAAATTTCGTTCTGACTCTGTAGATTTTTTTGACAAATAGTGACATTTTACGGAAAACTTGATCTTTCAAAAAATGAAAGGGAGAGTATCACCCACTGCGTCCCTCAGCTTCAAAAATGGTCTGCATCCTACTCCCATCACGACGGACCCGTTTGACGCTTCTTCCAGCTGCCCAGTACATGAAGTCAGTCGTTGGGTCGTAGTCCAGCGACCAGTAAGCCCCCATGGATGAGTGATCCGTCATATCCGACACCGTGACTTTGGACCAGTCCTGGACTTCAATTTGGAATATGTTTCTACTCTCAGCAACCAACAGGAAAGATTCTGCAAATTCAGATGAAAGTGGACATCTTAAAATCTTTGGGTTATTTCCCAACGCATGCAGTTTTCTGCAATTATACTTTTTACTTATTACTTTCGCCCAAAATGTTGGCATAGTGTGTGTGTGTGTGTGTGTGTGTGTGTGTGTGTGTGTGTGTGTGTGTGTGTGTGTGTATGTGGTTTAGCACAATAACTCAAGAAGCTTCAGATGGATTGTCAATGGAAATAAAATGTGGATTATTTTCATAATCATTGAGACAAAAATTTATAAATTTTTCGGTAGAAATGGTTAACGTCAGTATTGCCAAATACTCGTGCAAATGATTACTAGATGTGCAGGATGTTGTGCTTTTGAACTAAAAGAAAATGACCAAAGATAAATATCTAAAAATATTTATCTTAATGTTTATTTTATTTTATTACGATTTACCACATTTGTGGAAGGATTGACATAACAGGTGACTATCACCTCTTCAAAGATGTCAACCCCGAGACCAGACTGTAAGGTTTGAACCACTCACACCGGGAAGGTCCCCTACTCTTTTAAGTGCGCTGGGTTCTTTAACGTGCGTAGGGTGTGGCTCTCCCAAACACGGGGCCCCCATTTAACGTCCTATCCGAGGGACGTCCCTAGCAGAAGCTAGGTACTCATTTACACCTGAGTGAAGTGAGGAAAGTCGTGTAAAGTGCTTTTCCCAAGGGCACAAGTTCGGTGACATGGGCAGGGTTCGAACCCACGACCTCTCGGGTGTGAGCTGAACGAGCTACCGACTGCGCCACACGACCCCACGCTTGTAGTCTGTACGACATAAACTAAACGTACCAGTACATTCCAAGCCTGCGTCTTGGTCATGACTACAGCTGGGATCGTGCATCGTCCATCCTGGGTACGAGCAGTTAAACAGGCTACTCTCGTCCCCATTACATTGTAGGTTATCCATATAGATTGGCCCCTGTCCTGTATTAAAAATATGTATTAAAAATGTAACATAAAATAATAATATTTCAACAAAGGAATTCGAAAATCATCAATCAAGGTACAATAATAATACCCCCTCCTGCACACTATTTTTCCTTTCTCTGTCACGGTGGTAAAATCTGGGCTGCAAAGTTCCCACATGTCATAGAACCCGAACTGTGTTCGATCGTGTTCGAACTGGGGAATTCGAATCGAACCCGCGTTCTATTTCGGGGTCACCTGCGGTCATTTACTATAAAGCGGCAAAACAAGCCTTTCTACCTCCGTGCATTGCAACAGATAAAAAACAACACTTTTCTATAGATACAAACAGTTTCCTGGACAGTACATGTCCGCTATTATTTTTGGTGGACATGTAACATGTAGCGAAGCTACTGTCATATCCTTCAGTGACCTTGAATACCGTAATGATTCTTTACACCAGTATGAATAACACAATGCACACTTTCTGGCGATATGACATGTCTCCAAAACTCGTTCAAACCTGGAAACATGGAGAGTTAAACATACCCCATTTACGGCTCAAAATGACTGTAACGGTTGTCCTGAAAATCGTGTTTTAGGGATTTTTAAAAATTAGGCCTCAATTTGAATTATGGGTAATTTAGTGAGAAAAATGTCAAAAAATGCCATTTTTTCACCAAAATGTCGACAAAAACTAGACTTAAAATCAGAAATTAAAAAATCCCTAAAACACGATTTTTACCTTCGCCAAGAAGGTTATGTTTTCAGAGGCGTTCGTGTATGTGTGTGTGTGTCTGTCTGTCTGTCTGTCTGTCCGTCAACACGATAACTTGAGAAGGCATTGGTGGATTGTCTTGATACTTGGTAGGTGGGTAGGTCTTAGATGAGACCTCAAAATTTTCAGATTTTGGACCCCTTAGCGGCTTGTTATGGTACTGCAGCTGAACTTCCGGTTTTGATATCTCATGATCTAGACATGTTATGGTGATGAAATTTGGGTGGTAGGTAGCTCTTGTGCTGGGGAAGAAGTGACGTGACTTTGGGCCCCCTAGTGGCTTGCTCTGGAACTGCAGGGATATATTCTTGAAAATATTCAAAAGAGGATAACTCAATAACCGGTTGACGGATCGTCGTGATTTTTGGTAGGTAGGTAGCTTACGTGATGCTTAATATAATTATGTGTACAATTATGCAAATATGGATGTAATTTGCATAATTTATGGGGAAATTCTATAAATCAGCTGCATTCCATAATAAGACAATTGAAGCTTGTGACATTGGTAATAGACAACGAGAGAAACACAGGCAGATATTGATTATGTTAATAATGACTTAATTTGCATAATTAATGAGAAAATTTTATAATTATGTAATGATAACTGCCTGTAATTTCATACTTATGGTATTTGAAAGTTAAGTTGAGGTGAACATCATTAAACATAATTTATTCAAATCAGGACCTCATTTGCATAATTTATTAGGAAATACTAGAATGCCTTGTTTGTTTATATAAGACTGTCTTTTGGTTGAGATTATGATAAAATGATATAATTCATGAAAATTAGGTTCCTATTTCTTAAATCAGGGGGGAATAATCTAATCTATAATTTGTCAGCCATTTGGCGAAGGTATGAGATCGGGGAACTCTAGTTAAAATTGCATTCAGCCTAAAGCTTGTATCCAGCCTAAAACTCCTTGGCTTACAGCCTATGCAGTCATGTTGGGTGGTTCCAAGAACACCAGTCTACTCTACACCTCCACACCCAAATGGTTGGAGTCAGTGTAGGCATTACAACGACACATTGCTCTGTGTAGTCAGTCAACTACAAGTCAGTGACGCTGGTGTGTCATGCCAAAGGACAGTCCTACCAGCTGAGCTAACACTGCCTGAGCATCATGACAAAAAGCTGAACATCTG